GTCATTTTGTATACATACTTTTTATCGCTTAAATTCAACACGTTATGAATTTAATTTATATAAAGTGGGATATATACCAATTTATTTTAGGGCTTACCAAATAATAATTTCTTGAGGCTGCGTGTGAGGTATTATATCGGGCTTACCCAAATGATTTTTCTTGAGGACGCGTGCGTGGAAAATTTCACAAATGTCCAGTAATTTGGGATAAATAAACGATGTTTAAATAAATAATCGCGCTATATTGCTATGTAACTAAACGTTGTATATTATAATCACAAATGATCCAAAATGATTACGTTATGTGATTTTATTATTTTTTACTAGAAATTAATGAGCCAACATAAGAATAAATAAATATATGCTTATATAAATAGGCATTTTATTTACTAAAATTAATAACAAAAAAATAGGTAAGCATTTAATGCAGCCCATAAATAGTAGTTTTATTATTTTTCTTATTTTTTCTTAAAAAAATCATATAATTTAATTTATAAAGACGCTTTAATATAATTATACAATTTAATTTATAAAAATCATACAATTTAATTGTTTTCGTTAAAAATACGCTTTAATATACATACATACACACACACACACACACACACACACACACACACACATATATATATATATAGGGATTGAATCCAATGAGTCCACATATTTAAAGTGTGAATGTGAGACTTATTCCTAGCCACTAGATTGGTACATGATGTGTGGCCAAGATTTAACTCTTCATTTATAACAATTCTTTATTTATACTACCTCCTTTTTTAAATAAACTAGTACAGAGCCCGTGCGATGCACGGGATGCACAATTTTAAGGTCATTTATCCATTCTTATAATTATACAAATGAATAAAAAAATGTACGGGATATATATAGTACGTGACCTGTAATAGGCCAAAATGTGAACACGGGTGATGCACGGGGTGCACAATTTTAAGGTCATTTATTAGTACAGAGCCCGTGCGATGCACGGGGTGCACAATTTTCTAGTATGTGTAATAAAAATACATACCGTATGCACGGGACAGAAGCACTAAATGAGTCATTTCCACAGAGCTTGTCCGTTAAGGTAGCTCCTGAACACGGGTGCACAATTTGTAGTACGTACCATAAAATCAGAACAGATTTCTATACAATTAGATAATAAATTAGATAATAAATAAAGCCTTTTTATTTTAGTAAAGATTTTACGTACTTTGTTTTTTTAATTATCGGATGTTATGAGATTTTTTTTGTTAAATCGATTTTATGGAATATAATACAAATACAATTAGAGGATTGAACAAAATCAGAACAGATTTTCATACAATTAGATAATAAAAAAATTAGATAAGGAAAAGAAGGAATTAGATAAGGAATTTTGAATTTGACTTTTTTTTTTTGGATAGATAGACTTTACGTACAAATTTTGACTTCACTGATTTTATGAGATTTATTTGGACAAAATCAATGTTAATATGGAATAAGACAAATAAATAGAGTCTTTTTATTTTAGTAAAGATTTTATGTCTTTTTTTTTTACTTGTCAGATGTTATGAGATTTTTTTTTTCTTAAACTGATTTTATGGGATATAAGACAAATAAATAAAATAATTAAATAATATTTTGGATAGAAATAGCAATGCATTAATTATGTTGACTTTTCAATCTACTAAATTGGGTAAATAGGATACCTTATATAATAAGTACAGATACAAATAAATAACATGCCAAAATTTTAAAGAATAATTAATGTATTTTAATTTATTATCTAACCATCAGTAATATCATTTAATGATGTGATCATTATCTCTTAAATGATAAATAAAATATTAATTTAATTTATTTTTGTTTTTTATATACTCAAATAAAAATTAAAAAATATTATCGACAAATAAGAATTATAATATATATCAGTAAAATCATTACAGAAGTTAATAAAATTATTTAAGGAAAGAATCTTTTTAATCATATTTGAATAAGAAATGTATAAATGCAAGCAATTAATGCATATAGTAAAAAGTTTCTAAATAAAGTATGCATTAAATGTGAGTTGACTTTTCTTGCTACTATTTTTGGTAAATAGTATGGCTTTTAATATAAGTATAGATGTCGTTTTGACTTTTTTGATTCATCCATTTTGCTATGTATCTAGACATATTAATGTCTAGATACATAGCAAAATGGATGAATCAAAAAAGTCAAAACGACATTTATTTAAAAAAGGAGGGAGTATTACTTTATTCTTATTCTTTATTATTTTAATTATTTAAATATTATTTTGACAATTGACCATTGACTTCGGTGTTGACCGTTGACTCCGGCGTTGACCGTTGACTTCCGGCGTTGACTTCTGACGAAAATCGTTGACTTCCGGCGTTGACCGTTGACTTCCGGCATTGACTTTCAGCACTGACTGTTGACTCATAGTATGGCATTGTGTATGAAGTAAATATGCATACAATACTATGCACTTAGTAAGAACTAAATATGCATAAGAAATGAATTATATATGTCATCCTTATGAACTAAATATGCACCAATAATATCAACTATGTATGCACTGTTTATGTACTAAATATGCACATTTTACTAACCAAATATGCATCAGGAATGAACTAAATATGCAACAAAAATATGCAATAAAATATACATTTTATACAATTAAATTAAATATAATAATTAATGATTTTTATTATATAATTAAATTTAATTTTAAATTGATTAATAACACAAATAAATTGTTATGATTGGATCTCAAATAAAATAGGTATGCACTGTTCATGAACTAAATATGCATTTCGTAAGACCTAAATATGTATCATGAATTAAGTAAATATGCATAATAAATTAATTATATAAATATTATTATATATTTAATTTAAATATAACAAGTATGCATTTCGAATTAATTAAATATGCATCATAAATTACCTAAATATTCATAATAAATTAACTAAATATGCATCATAAATTACCTATATAAACTGCACATTTTATTGCATATTTTTCGTTGCATATTTAGTTCATTCATGATGCATATTTAGTTCATAACAGATGTATATTTAGTTCATAACAGGTACATACTTAGTTGATATTGTTGGTGCATATTTAGTTCATAAGGACTGCATGTACAATTCATATCCCATGCATATTTAGTTCATATTGAATGCATGGTACTGGATGCATATTTACTTCATACATATAATGCATACTAGGGGTCAACGGGTCAACGCCGAAAGTCAACGGTCAACGACGGAAGTCAACGGTCAACGTCGAAAGTCAATGATTTTTCGCTGGAAGTCAACGGTCAACGCCGGAAGTCAACGGTCAACGCCGGAGTCAACTAATAATTATTTTATTATTTAATTAATATATATTTTAAGGAGTGGACTCATTTTAAGGAGTGGACTCATTGGATCCTCCCCCCATATATATTTATATATATATATATATAATACTTTTAGTAATAAATTTGAATAAAATGTGTTACTTAAATATCTAAAAAATTTATAAATTCAAATATTTAAATTAATTGATAAATAATTCATAAATCTCTGTTTTATTTAATATATAATTTATTTAGAATACTTTTAAATATAGTCAAATTTATTTAGAAAATCGTATCGATCCTCAATTCAACCGATTGACGTTGACGGATTCAATAACAAATATTTTATTCAAGTGAACTAGACTGATTATAAACTGATTCTCGGTCCATCCGGTCGGACTGTGTCCAACACGGTTTAATTTAAAAACAATGAGTAAATCTTGATTAATTTATTTGTATATTTAATTTATAACACAATAGTAATATTGTTTTCTTGTGCATCGCACGGGCCACACACTAGTTGGATATTTATGATTGTTTTTAAGAGCAATAACCATATTTATTATCATTTGTTATTGTAGAAATGGTTTATAAGGTATAATCTTTGCTTCCAATATTTCTTTTTTCTTAATCTTTTTTTTTTTAATTATAACAAATTCTCTAACTTAAATTATTGAAATATTCATAAGTTAATAATTATTTTATTTACTAGCAAAGTTGATGTGATGTGTAAGAATGATTGAGTGGTATTATTTAATTATGTTGATAATATTGAGTATGGTAGAGTTGAGTTAAAGTCAAATTAAATTTTGAGTTGAATAAAATTTTGAGTGAAAATTTTTGTATACATTCACGCCCTAAAATTCTAGCCATTGTACAAACAATACACACACACACACACACACACACACATATATATATATATATATATATATTTTAAAGGCAGAAGTTAACCGTACTACTATATGACTTGAGTCCTAAAACACACGGCGACACAACACTCATCCATACAACATATGATCACTGATCAATACTACAAAGTACAAATAGGGCGTAGTGTTTGTAGTATTTTTGGGCAATTGGTAACCGAGTTTTTTGGGTCGTTCTCAAATGAAGGCTCTTCGGAGCTTCGTTCACTATCTAGTCGCCAAATCACACAACCGAAAAGGTCCTAAACATGCTACTCGCTTGAAGGGTTTGAATTTAAACTAAACTAATCTACGAAATTGAGGACAATTGAAAGCAATTAACAAGGCAAGAGAAAGCACGCAGGAAGATGAGAGAAATCAAGGGGGAAAGAGAGATTTTGGTTCGCTGGAGTCTCTATGATCAAACGCGCACACATAACTGAACATTGCCATGCTAGGGAATTTTTATATTTTTTTTTGTAATTTTTATTGTACTGAAAGTATGAAATAGAGCTCAGAAGAACAATGGGGGATTTAGAGAGAGAAAGAAGAGGGATGAGGGAATATTAGAGAGAGAGAGAGTAGAGAGATAGCATAATTTTCTCCATAACTGAAAATATCATTTCCCCTAAGGTTAAATACAAAAGCTTGGTTTTACCCCCCATGGGCCCACATCATAACAACCCATGTGAATAATACTCACATTTAAATAACTCTAAAACTAAGAAATGGAAATAACATAAAAATGTTCATTAAACTGCTACTGCCACGTGTCAAGCTTCACTTGAATCATTCTTCTCTTGATCAAAGGTTGTTGGCGCCCCACGTGTCTCAATCTCGATCGTTTTTTCATTTTCCGACATAACCCTGCTCACTGCACTTCCATCTCCCATCTCACTCTTATCCAGATTTCCTTCGACATCGCGACTCCATTTCTCAGATCTTGCCTCGCCATGTTTCCCGTTCATGAAATTCACAACACTAAAACCCTAGGTAGCTAAACCAAACTCTAGCACAAGACGAGCAAGCATTTAACTCCTAATCACACTTAGTTAAGCATTCATGATCTAAAGATTCAATCTTTTCCTCCAAGCAACACAAGCACAATATCAATTTTCACAAAAGCAAACAAAGATATACGAAGTAATGAGGCTTAAGACTAAGTACCCACTCTTACACGCACTTAGAAGGAGAAATGGAGTCAAAAGTTCGAATTTACTCGAAACAATGTCGCCGGAAATTTACCGAAAAACTTGATTCATATGCTCCAAACCAAAACATAAAAAAAAAAAGAAAAGTAGAGAGGATTTCCAACTTAAAAGTTGAGAAATGAGGGTTGTGTCCAAAATACAAAGCACAATGTCTATTTATAACTACACCACAAACACACACTAAAAACACACACATTTAATGAAATTATGAAGTTCACGGGTCTCGAAATCCAATTCGCAGCGAGTTTGCACATGAAAATCAACTGAAAATGCACATTCGCAGGTCGCCAATGCTTGTTCGCTGCGAGTGCTTGGGTGGCTTGGTGCATGGGCGCGTTTCATGGGGCGCGAAGAGAGTGTCACCGGCGAGTGCTTCGGATGGTTGGTGTTGGGCGTGGCATTTCGCTGGGCGCGAGTCGCCGCTCGCGGGCGAGTGCGAGCTTGTGAAGGTGCTGCGCGCGCGCGTCGCTGTCCGCGGAAGACCGTTCGCTGCGAGTGGCGCCTGCTGGGGTGTGCTATTTGGCGGGTCGCGAGTCTCCATTCGTTGCGAGTGCGATGAGCTAGCTGGGGCGTGATGCTTACAGTTTCGCATGTCGTGAAGGAGACTTCGACAGCGAGTTGCGCGGGCCTATTTCGCGGGGCGCCAGTTTGAATGGTAGCGAGTGTGTGCCCTTGGGTGCATGGGCTATCTTGCGCGCGCTCGGTGTCGCGGCTCGATCAAATGGCTCGGGTGACTCGATGCGGATTTGGATGGTTCTGAAATAGCTCAAAGACGGCACGAACAATTCGTCTTCCCGAAAATCGCAAATTGGACCCACAACACACCAAAAGAGACGCGAAAATACGACAAAATACAAGAACACAAAGCGAAAGTAAAAACACATAAAATACGATAAAATGGACCGGTTGACACTCAAACGAACATAAAAACGACTCGACTAACACATAAGACACAAGAAAATAAACACAAAAACATAACAAACACATAGACAGAAATATTTTACAAACTAGGCTGCTACAGCCGACTTGTTAGGGAGTACAATTAAGTTTGGTTCGTAAAAAGTCAATTCTTGACTCATTCATATAATAAAACATAAAATAAAATTTAATTCAAACGAGCAGAACTGAATTGATTATACTCGCTTTATTAAACGATCAGAGCCAAACTTGCTAATTTATTATACGAGCACAAATTCGAACACGACATATTCGATTCAATTTACTTCCATAATATCACTATTTTTTAAAAATTCCAAGTATGATATTTTCTTTTATGTTTAATGTAAATTACAAACGAATGGAAAACGAATTATAAAAAATATGCCATGTTGTTTTAATACATTAAAAACACCTTATACTGTTTTTTTAGGCATATTTATACAAAGGTCGACCATATTACGTAAACTTGTACAATTTTTTTTTTTTTTTTTTTTTTGTTGATATAGTAATTTTATTTAAAAAATAGTACTTCCGCGTAATTTATTCTTATCTCTTTAAATTTGATTTATAAAATAATATAACTTATTTCAAATGCTACTACGAGATGAATGTTTTATTATGAAGCAGGTCAATCCAACATACTTGTTCTATGATATTTCACTTAAAATTGTGGAAGTCTGGATGTTACTTTATTGAATAAGCAGGTTAACCAACATACGCGTTATATGATATTTTAGTTAAATTGTGAAATTTCAAATGTTATATCATTGATTATGTTACGCAAATTAATGAAATATATTTCACATATTCAAATATCAATTATTTAGAAGTTAACAAGTAATTGATATATTTCATATATAAGGTAATATAAATAATATTAATTAATCGTGTCTTAAACCAAACATTAAAAGAAAAAGAACAAAGAAGAAGAAATGACAAAGTTAGCTATAACCACAAAAGATTACGAGTTTGAGTAAATATATATATATATATAATTTCTTGATTTACTATAAAATAAATTTAAATTAATATGGACTAAATAACTTTATCATGAATTAAATTAACAAAACATGAGCTAAAATATTTTTTTACTACTACATATTTTGATAGCCCGGGTGAGCCACCTTCCGGCTACGCCCCTGAGTACAAACTATGATCTAACTGCTTAACCTATTTGTGGCTTTGGCATCAATTTTGGCCTCCAAATCTCTTATAAACCGATCAAAATTTATCTCGGACAACCCATTAATATCCAACGCGTTTCGCATCACCTCACCTCAACCCTTAAACTCTTCCAATTAGAATCTCTACTCATAAAACCCTTTATTTTCTCCGAACTTTCAACCCTACCGACCGAAACCCCATCACAATCCCGATTTTCCAATCATCGACCACCAATTTTCGATTGGTTGGCTGGTCGTATGATATAGGGTAACAAATCATAGGGACCCCATACCATATGATCTCGACCGTTGAATTCCACCCACAGTGCGTAAGAAAGCCCCCCACAACCGGACTAGAAAGAACCTTAATTTGATCACACCAATGCACAATTAAACCTTGACCCTTGACCTCATTTTCAATTCCAAGGGGCAAAACATTAGCATTATCGCCCGAGTTAAGGATACGTTCTCGAATAACCCATATGAAGTTCACACCACTTAAAAGAAGCCCGTAAGCAACCTCTTCAATAATCTTCTTGCTCGAATGAACGAAGCTTTCGAACGAGACGTACAATACAGAGCCAGGGGACTTGGACTCTAGCCAGCTGGCGCAATCCGATTCGTACCATAAGCTCTTGCTACAAACGACATTTGTTGGGAGATTTTTGGAGAAATTTATCGGGCCGATCGCGTAATTGGGCTGGTACCGGTTGAGAGCTGATAATACATCGGGTTCCAAGTGTTCGACCGTGGTGAGCAAGACAAAATCGGCTTTCTTCACTCGGTCGAATGATAGGGACAAAGTTTTGTACACAAATTTTTGTGATTCGGGATCCTTGAAAAACGACACGACGTCCTTCGTGTTAATCGACTTCACTCCTGGAACATAGTTCACTTCCTCTGTTTTCTCTGTTTCGGTACTAGGAAAAAAAAAAGGTTCACTAATTCATGTTATTGGATAAGAATGTTGTCATTTAATTACTGGATATTTTAACAAGTGCAAAAGTTAATTAAAAAATTTGTCACAAGACAAAGGCAAATTTGGTCAGATTTTGTAACAAGATAAATACCAGTCAACTTTGACATTCCATTAAGTAACAAAATTCAAAGCATGGTGGACAAGAAACATTGAAATAAATATAAAAATCAAATTTAAACAATCAATAACACATGATTCACTCATGGTGCCAAATGAACCACGCAGCTGAATCCAAGAAGTGAAGTGGAAACTTCGCTATTATCTTTAAATGGAAAAATGATCATGTTTTGAGTGGTTGGCAAAGAAAATACAAAATCGTGACGTTCGAATATCACTCATGAGCTGTCCCACATTGATTTGATAGGATAAATGAATTTAGTAAGATGCAACTAAGTTCACCCTCTTATGGTGCGCTTCACTGTGTGAGATCGACCCTTGATATTCGACGAGTCATCATCAAAAGGCTTTTTTAACAGTGAAATTAATGTGTGGTTCCTAAGATGGAACTTACCTGTACCATAGGTTAATTTGAACCAAAAAAAAAAAAAAAATGAAATCAATGATGTTACCGACCATTATGTCAATTATTCGACTTTAAATTTTGTTATCGAGTACATTGTGTCTGTATCCAAAAATCTAATTAAAAAAGTAACCAGGATTGACTCATGTAATAAACAGTTTGATGTCGCTTAACCAAGATCTCGGGTTTAAGTCCCTCTGAATGTAGAAAACCCTTGTTGGGAGACTCACCCACCATTGTCAGGTGTGCAACCTGAATCGACCAACGGATTAGTCGAGACAAAATTTTAGATACCGTAGTTGGCTAAAAAAAAAAAAGATATCTAATTAAAAATACTAGTGGTGGGAGAGACATGTTGGAAAATGATTTCTTTATTAAATATGAAAATCGAGCCTAACAAACATATCTCGCAGCTCACTAGCACAGTTTGAGTTTGGATGCCACCTCTTCTACAGATTTAAACAATTTCTCAATACATGCATTACTACTCATCAATACATCATATGATCATCAATTACTTCTATTTTTCCACATTCATAGCCTTCTCTTGAATCTTGGCCTCCAAATCCCTCACAAGCCGATCGAAATTCCTCTCGGACGACCCGTCAATACCCAGCGCCTTCCGCATTGCCTCCATTGCTTTATCCGCATCCGCTCTTACCCTCTTCGAAACCGGACTCCCGCCCATAAAGCTCTTTACTTTCTCCGCAACTTCACCTCTATTAATAGACTCCCCATCACATATACTAATCCCATTTCCCCAATCATCGACTACTAATTTTCGATTAATAGTTTGATCCCACGCTATCGGGCAACAGATCATGGGGACCCCACACCACATGCTCTCCACNGTCGAATTCCATCCGTTATGCGTTAAGAATCCCCCAACAGCCGGACTCGAAAGAACCTTAATTTGATCACACCAAGGAACTACCAACCCTTTGTCCTTAATCTCGATTTCGAACCCAAATGAACCGAGAATGCCTTCTCGATCAACCCATATGAAGTTCACTCCACTTAAAATAAGCCCGTAAGCTATTTCATCAATAATATGCTTGCTAACTGTCACGCAGCTCCCGAACGAGACGTAAAGCACCGAGCCAGGGGACTTGGACACGAGCCATTCGCTGCAGTCCGATTCGGACCATAAGCTCTGGCTGCTGACACCATTTGTGAGTAGGATTTTCGAGAAATTTATTGGGCCGATTGCGTAATTGGGCTGGTACTCGTCGAGCGCTGCTAGCGTGTCCGACTCTAGCTCCTCAACCGTGTTGTGCAATGTAAAATCTGCTTTCTTAACTTCCTCAAAAGCCAAAGACAACATTTTGTTCACCGTCTCGTCTAAATCGGCTTCCTTAAGATACGACATCAAATCCCTTGCATTGATGGGCTTCACTCCAGGAATATAATTTATTTCGCTAGCGTTTTCTGTGGTACAATGAAAATGTTATGCAAGTAAATTTACATAAGGCTTTTGTGTTATTTGAAGTCATATATACCTGGACATGGGAAATGGCCCCTCTCGGATAAGAGGTCCCAATGGTAAAGCAGAGAGAAAACCAGAGCCGGCTCTGTCCAAAACGAGACGTTCACGAGGTTATACTTATCGGCAATCGTTGCAGGCCATGGGAAAACGGTGTCGGTTGCTAAGAAATATCGGACGGGACATTGATCGGCACGTTGGTTTATTACCATCTTCCCTACGAATTCATCCACACGAGCCGGAAAGTCGTGCAGCATTTTGTCCCAATAATCGGACCTGTTGGCTTCACGGTCGAACTCGAGTGGGAAGCCGTCGTCGATTGTCGCGTAACGCAAGTCGAAGCCCGATTTTCGGGCTTCGGAAAACAAATCTTCTTGGGAATGATGGGCTTTAGAGAGTTTATGGTGGACGAATTCGAGATGGACAAAAGTTACTGTGAAGCCCTTAGAGGCAAGCTTGAGAGCAAGATTGGTGAATGGGTTAATGTGGCCTTGGTATGGGAGTGATATCATAATGGCGTGGCCTTTGCTCTGCTTGCCCATTTTTTTTTTTGTTTTTTAAATTTAATTATGTTCTCTTTGATTGAAGGCAAACTATATATAGGAGGTGAAATAATATATTTGTGTAAGCTTGCATTGATTGCCATAATACTTCCAACATATTTGAATAAATGTTTCCAAATATTAATATATTATGAATTATTGAGGTTATGATCTTTATAAAAGTCCACTTTTCTTTCACCCCACTGCAAGAAAAGGTCTTAGTCAAAAAGAGAGTTGAATGGTGGGACATACAATAACAATTTATAAGACGTGACAAAAAAGTGGTAAACAGCTTGATGTTGTTTAAGTAAGGTCTCAAGTTCGAATCTTTGTAGATTCAGAAAATTTTTGTTGGGAGACTCAACCACCAATGTCAAATGTGCAACCCGGATCGACCAACGGATTAGTCGGTGCATTTGGCTAAAAAAAAAGTGTTGTTGGGTACAATGCGGAAAATAAAGGAGTAAACAGGGTAACTTATTTGAATCAGATTTGACACAAGTTGTCAAATGCATTTCAATTTTCAACTATGAATTACATTTGCACATATTGTTATGAAGTTAACTTAAACAAAGACTTGACCCCCAATATCATCTATAACTTCACAACAGAGCACAAGTACTTCTATATCCCAAACTGAGATCGAAATCCTAACACATGCATTCCCCTTTAAAAACGGCATTTTATTCACTTTCCCCCAAGCGCAATTTTTTCCTTCAAATCGACAATAAACCGATCGAAGTTCCTCTCGGACGAGCCACCA